CCCAAGGGGAAATTTGGTCCTGGGCTTTTTAATACAATGCCATTTCTGTCTGATGCCAAGAAGAGAGCCCAGCTTGTGGGGTCATGGTGGTTGGGAAAGTGGGTGGTGAGAGGAGGGAATTCTTTGCCTAGGGGAAGAAGGGTAGAAGAAACCCAGGTCTGGGTCTGGGTCTGTGGGTCTGTGGGTCTGTGGGTCTGTGGGTCTGTGGGTCTGGGTCTGTCCTTCCAGGCTCAAGCTGAGTAGAGAAAGTTCCCATGATGCTCAGACTCCTATAAACCTTGGATTGGGTGACATGGTCTTCTCAGGGAGGAAGAAGATGGAGGTCTGGGCTTCTGGAAGGACTCTGGTATCTTGGGATCAGAGTACTGCTCGCCTGAGGCTTGGGTCATTCTGAGCCTGGGAGTGGGATGGCTGGCAACCTGTGGTCCCACGGAAATAGGTTCTGGGGCACGCCCACTGTTCCTAGTTGAACTTGGGTAAAGAGCAGGAATGTGGTCAGACAGGGTCAGTGGGAGGGCTTGGGACCAGCCTGAGCCAGGGTCCATTGTCTAGATTACTTGACCTGAAGAAAGCCTTAATTGGAGCCTTACGCAGTTAGGTGACAACAGGCCTTAGTTCTAATGTTTGATCCTGGCCTAGTTCTGGGCCTCAGTCTCCATTTCTGTGGAATGGGAATAATAACCCTTTCACCTCTGACCCTTCTCTTGAGCGGGTATGAGGGTAGTGACAATAAGGTGGGCCATCAGAACTTTCATGTCCAGGAGCCTCTATTCTCCAGAACCCTCAAGAGGTGGCCCTGTAGGACCAGTGTGCCAAGGGGATTCCTCAGAGCTGCTCCTGCCCCATCTCCCTCTGCACCTTTTTCTCTTCTGCACTGTTTTCCTTTTTCCCTTATGTTCTTTCTATTCTGGCTCTTTTCTTTACCCTGAGGAACCAGCTCTGGAAAAGGCCCCACTTTCCCAGGCCCAGGTACCCCACTAGGCCCTAAGTTGTGTCCCTCACCCTGCCTAGGCACCACTTCCTACAGGATGTTCTCTGCGGTCTCCCAGCCCTTGGACCCCGAAGGGACCATGTTCCGGCTCCGCATCACGGCCATGATCTGGTGGGTCATCACTTTCCCCATGTTCGGCTTCTTCTTCTGCATCATCTGGTCCCTGGTGTTCCACTTTGAGTACACAGTGGCCACTGACTGTGGGGTGAGTGCCAGGCTCCCCAGCGCCTGGGTCAGAACCAGGTCCGGAGATGGCGATAAGGGCGAAATTGGAGAGTAGGAGAGAACGGGGAGGGTCAGAGAGAGGGAAAAGAAATAAAAGGATGGTGGGGGCAAATCATAGTTGGGGGAGTTTTGGGAGAGAGACTCAGAGAGTAGAGTCACAGTCCTCCAAGAATAGAAGAGGATTACACAGGGTGCAAGAGAGCAGAGGGGAGAGGGGGAAGGGAAGGGAGTGGGAATAGGCAAGAGAGGTCATGAGAAGGAGAAGGCTGAAGAAAGACCAGACTAGAAGGGATGCCAGGACTGAGGAGGTGAGAGGAGGCCAGCAGCCAGGAAAAGGAATAGGTGGCTTTAGCCCAGACGAGAGGCCTGACCTGAGAGGGTCCTCCAGCCCTGCCCTGGGATCTTCTAGCTTGGTGTCTCTCTCTGGCAGCCTCAACCCCGCAACCTGTGTCCACTAAGGGCCCTGCCCGCTAGAAAGCTAGATGGATTCCCGCCTCCAAGAGCAGTCCAGCAGGCCTTTGCTGAGGGCCCAAGGGTAGAGGTTCTGTGTCGGGGACATGGAATTGAACATGGACTTGCCCTTAGCATCTCATTCCTACAAGAGATAATCCTAGACACAGACAGTCAGTCACTACACAGTGAGACAGGATTCCTATTGTGACACAGGGAAGCACAGGGGTGGCAAGGCCCAGAGGAAGCACTTAACCCAGCTTGGACATTGGAGAAGACTTCCTTCCTGAAGGAGGGGTCATTGTTGCTGTGGGGGTGAAGGAGAGTCTTTGTGAATGCCAGGCTGACAACTTTTGATTTTATCCAGAGGGCAGTGGGAAGTTTGCAAAGATTTTAAACAGGAAAAGGACATGATCACATTTGTGGTCTAGAAGACCAATCTTCCTCCTAAAAGGAAAACAAATTTAAGGGCACAAGACAAGAGGAGGGAAACCAGTGAGGAGGTCAGTACAATACCTTGTGCTGCTGGGGAGACCAGAGCTAAGATGGAAGCTGTGAGGATAGACAGGAGGAGATGGAGTTCAGAGAAGAAAGCAAGTAGAAATAATAGGAATGGGAGTTTTGTCCAGTTGGCAAGGGGCAGCGGGCAGTAAGGTAAATAGAAAAGTCATCCATAATTTTGGGGGGCTTCTATCTGAAGCCAAAGGAATGAATCTCTAATGATGAAATCTGAGGTCCAATGATAGGGAATTTTTTGGACTCTCTCCCTTTATCTCATGTGAATTTCTGCCTTGCTGCCTGCCCTAACACACATCCACTGAGCAAGGTCCTCCAGGCCAAAGGGTTTCTATTCTTGGGGAAAGGGGTTATGTTCCCATCTCTTGTTACCTTTAGCTCTGGGCTCATGGGGAGGTTTGAGGTGAGCTGTCTACCTGGTTTCTAATAGCTTCTGATATTGCTTGTTGCTGGCAGTGGTTGGTGAACAGGGAACTTGTGTGCTTGAAATGGGACATGTATATGAGTATCTGTACCTGATTTTGTGTGTGTGTGTGTGTGTGTGTGTGTGTGTGTGTGTGTGTGTGTGTGTGTGTAGAGAGGTCCCCACCCCTAATCCGGGAGGATCTTGTGAGGACAGGACTGGTAGCCACAGGGTCTTAATTCTCTCTTCCTCCTGACGCGTCCCCCAACTCTGTGCCATCTCTACCCTTTATCTGTTTTCCAGCATCTGTCAGGGCTCTTAAATGCTCTGGGCTCTCCCAGCCAAGCTTTCGAGGCTGGTCCTGTTCCCTTTAAACAGCTGAGTTTGGGGCAGGAGTTTTCAGAACGAATATTCTAGGAAGTGGAGGCAACACTCCCACTAACCCTATTCAGAGGACCTACTCAGAGAGGCAGAAAAGTCAAGTAAGGACGTTTGGAGGTCTCAGAAGTGTCTGGTAAAGATACAATTCCCATCTCTCACTCTTATGTAGGCCTTCTCATGTGCAGTAGCCACGTAGTAGCTTACCACCTATCTGCAGGCTTTTCAGGGAAGTTTGTCTTCTGAAAGCCATCATTTGTACCCACTGTGTGTCAGACACTGCAGATGCTTTGCATACATTATATTTGGTATTCACAGTCACCTTGCAGGGTTGGTGGTATCTCTGTTTTGCCAATGAGGAAACTGAAGTTCAGAGAGATGAAGTGACTTGCTCAAGGTTACTCTGCTAACAAAGGCAGAGCAGTGAAACAGACCCAGGATTGTCTAGCTCCAAAACTTCCATGCTGCCTCTTCACTGATTACTCAGAGTGAATGTCTGAGCCTGGTCTCAAGCTATGGTATCTCAGACCTTGGCCTTGAGAGCAGCACCCTCTCCCTGAGAGCTCTGCGTTGTTTCCTCTGACAGTGCCGAGGGGAATTCAACTCCTTTGTGAAGGCTGTGAAGCCCCTGGCTGGTGCTTACCCAGGCCCACCCCTTCCCTGTGAGCTGCCTCCATCATTGCCTACCTCCCCAGCTGCTTTGGAGACCCATTCAGCATCCCCTTTGGGAGAAAGGAGGGGATCTTGCAGAGCTCCATCTCTGAAGACTGGTCCTGCTGTAGTCACCGCAGGGCCATTCCCTCGCTGGGCTCTGGCACTGCTCTGTCCCTTGTTGAAAATCTGAAAAAGTCCACAAAAAGTGTGGGCAACAGACTGGTAGCTTCCACAGTCCTAGAATCTCTTAGAAATGCAGGTTCTCCGATTCCAGACCTTCTGCACTTTCATACTGTCCCTGGTGAGTTGTATGCATATTAAAGTTTGAGAAGCCGCGGGCCGGCTGAGTGGCTCAGTTGGTTAAGAGCTCGCTCAAGAGTTTGAGCTCTGAGCAACAGCGGTTCGAGTCAGCCCGAGCTGAGCAGCCGCTGAGCTGCCAACAGGTGGCAGGATGGCTCAGCTAAAAAAAAAAATAATAATAAATAAATAAATAAATAAATAAAATAAAATAAAATAAAGTTTGAGAAGCCGCACCAGGCCCTGGAGTCTAAGAGATCCTGCTGCCATCCCTGGTGTTTCTGTCCCCGTTGAAACTACTGTTCACTCATCCCCCATCCTTTCACCCTTCCATATAAGCAACATACCAGTCCTTGCAGCTGTGCAGTATTATCTCCTCCTCCTTCCATAACTTGAAAGATTGATGCTCTGTGTCCTTAAGGAATGAGGAATCCCAGGCCTTCAGAAAGATGAAGGGGAGAGATGCACAAGGACAGGGCCATGTTTTTAGACTACCTTGGGTTAGGAGCACCCATGTGCTTAGACATGATCAGGGTGGGGTAGCCTTCTACCTCAGCTTACCCAGCATCTCACCGTACCCTCCACCACCTTGGCACATCTGCCCAGAAGAACAAGTGGAGCTGGGAGCAGTCAGAGGAACAGCTCGGCTGAGCAGTGAATCCAGCACTGTCCGCAGGAAGCTCAGATGGTCTGACTCATCCCTGTCCATGGGACTGAATCTGGCGTCTTGGGCTCATGGAACCTCTCACAGGGACTTCTTCTCCTGGCTCAGAGAACCTCTGAGCCTGTGTCCAGTTTTCTCAGCCATGTGTAGGTTCCATGTGTAGGGAGATGGAGAGGGTCACTCCATGCCCCTGCACAAACGCCAAGCTGTCTGGGGAATAAGAACCAAGCACCCTGGGGGACCCGGGACCTTGAAGGGGAGCTCTCCTAGGAGAGCTCTGGGGTTGCCTGAAGGAGGACTTCCTGGAAGGGAAGGGGTTGGAGCAGAGCCATCTGAGGGCTGGGGTGATTAGATAGAAAGAAGGATCTCCAGGTGGGCAGGGCCAGCAGGGGCCGGTGCCCAAATGGGTCACAACTCTCTAGGTGCCCAATTACCTGCCTTCGGTGAGCTCGGCCATCGGCGGGGAGGTGCCCCAGCGCTACGTGTGGCGCTTCTGCATCGGCCTGCACTCGGCGCCCCGCTTCTTGGTGGCCTTCGCCTACTGGAACCACTACCTCAGCTGTACCTCCCCGTGTCCTAGCTACCAGCTGCTTTGCCGCCTCAACTTCAGCCTCAACGTCATCGAGAACCTCGCACTGCTAGTGCTCACCTACGTCTCTTCTTCCGAGGACTTCAGTGGGTGCCCGGATGAGGGAAGGAGAGTGGGGAAAGGTTTGGGGAAGGGACGCCCCTGCCCCTCCCTTATTCAGACCTTCAGATGTAGGGTTGGGGTCCTCTCTGCAATGCGCGCTCCCACCCTCCTCTCTCCCTCCAGCCGTCCATGAAAACGCTTTCATTGTGTTCATCGCCGCATCCCTCAGTCACATGCTCCTCACCTGCATTATCTGGCGGCTGACCAAGAAGCACACAGTAAGTCAGGAGGTACGGTCTACCCCTAGTGGGGCTCCAGGCAGCCCAGAGGAGAATCAAGACCTGTCCTCTGGATGCGGGTTCTGGTGAGGTGGGAACTAGAGTTCTAATTGGAACCTGGGCTGGGGCTGGGGCTTGGGGAGAAGTCGAGGGTGACTGACTGGTCAGAATCCAGGACTGTGTTTGGGTAGTATGGGAGACTGGAGAAGAGAGATGGAGGCTCCAAATGGGGGTGGAATGAGGGGCAGCACCCAGGCTGCAGTGAGTTAAGAACACGTGTCAGGGTCTGTGGTCTGTAATAACTCCAGTTGCCCCCCCACACACATACACCTTTCTCTCCCCCAAAGTATCTGGAGGTGTTGGGTTGGTTGATGGACCCTCAAGTAATTTCATATTCCATCCCCCGGAAGGGGGAGGGGCAGAGACACTATTGCTCTTTGGCCCCATTAGGTCCCAAATGCAGGGATGTGCACATGCCCATCATTCCTGCTACCCCTGCCTGTGCCCCCTTCCATGGCCAAGGGAGGGGAGACAGCCTAGAGGAGTTAGGGCTGAGAGGGGACGCTGCCCATACATGTCCAACAAGCTGCAGAGTGATCAGACAGCTCAACCCACAGGATCACAAGTCCTACAACTGGAAACAGAGGTTCTTCATCGTCAATTTCGTCTCCTTCTTCACGGCACTGGCTGTCTACTTTCGGCACAACATGTATTGTGAGGCTGGAGGTGAGGCCAGGCTGGGATCCATAGGTGGTCACAGTGGCTACGGGACAGTTCTTATTTTCTATAACGTACAACATAGCGGTGGTCTTGGGGGCTGGCTGCCGTTGTGTTCCCTGTAGTGATGTGGTTTATCAAGAGGCCCTGGGGCAGGGGGAGGGTAAGGGCAGGAGGCTCACCACGCCCTTCCTTGTGTCACAACAGTGTACACCGTCTTTGCCATCCTGGAGTACACTGTTGTCCTAACCAACATGGCATTCCACATGACAGCCTGGTGGGACTTCGGGAACAAGGAGCTGCTCATTACTTCCCAGCCTGAGGAAAAGCGATTCTAAACCCTTCTCTTCTGCTGGGGAGGGGCCCACTGCCCAGAAACTAGAAACAAGATCCCACTCTGACCTTTCCCACTTCCTGTGTCTTCTCTAGACCCTACTGACGCTGGGGGAAGGGGGGAAGAAAGGAGGAAGGGCACAGGATAAGGCTTTATCCAGTCCTGTGGCTTTTCCTCCATCCCACTTGAAGGCGCAGGGGTTCAAGCAGCATCACCTTTATCTGAGAGGCCCCAAGCTGAGTAGGCAGGAGAGCTCCACCATCTGGTGCTTAAAATTAAGTCCTGAGGTTCCTAACCACCATGCGGTTCTTGGCCTTAACATAGCCACCTCTTGTTGAGGTCAGGGACCATTGAGCAGTGGCTGCTACCTGAAAACCACAGCCATTCTCTCCATGGGGTCATTCGACTTGTGTGTCTAATCTACTCTGCGCGTCCAGGCCTATGGCCACAATCCTGTTAAGGTTGCCCAGGTCTAGTCCCTACTTCACCTCTGATGTAGTGTCTATGTGGGTGATGGGGTGGGCAGGCTGTAGGATTTCCAAGGGCTCTGCTAGTCTGCTTGACATCACCTTGTAGAGGTGGTGGTCTGTACCGGAAGGATGACTGCTCCAGGAGCACTGGTGCAGCATGTATTTCCCTTCCCTTCGGAAATCTCTGGCTTACACTCTTCCTCCTTGGTGAAAATGTGGAGTGGAGAAGTCAGAGGCACAGATTCCTACCCCCAAAATGGTATTCCCCCAAACTATCCTACTGTCCCAGGCCCTGAGCTCTTTGGGTTGTACATTTGTTTTCAAAGGAAAATAAAATTCTTGCCAACAGTCTGGGCTAGGCTTGTCTTGGGGCTTGTCTCTGTTTAATGGAACTGAGGTGAGGGACACAGGCTCTAGGATGGAGGGAATAAATCCATGGCAGGGTATGATTCCATGTGGCACCCCCTCAGGCCCAGGTCTCCTACCGCTGGTCTAAGCCCAATTTTGGTGAGCACGAGTGACTGAGTTATCCCTGTAATGACTCCAGGCCTAGAAGCTGAGATACCTGGGAGTCTTGGGTAGAGTTGAAGGCCTGAGTTCTAGCCCCTACTGTCAGTAAAGACCTTTCCCCTTGGGGGTGTAAGGGGACAGGTCTTAGATGCACCTGCCTGCAGGCTGATGGCCCCAACCTCTCCCTTGCTGAGCCCTGGATCAAGAAGTCTTTCTTCATGCTTTGCATCCCAGTTCACTACAGAATCTGTGGCTGGGTCCCAGAGCAAGACTGGCCCCTCCAAGGGAGCCCAGAGCTTTGTTAGGGAAATTGGGGGGTGGGGGGACCACAATGAAGCCTATTGTCTCCTGTCCCCTCTTGCAGGAAACAAAAGGCTCCCAGTCTCTGGGGAGCCCTAGCCCATGCTTGTCCCCTGCCCAACCCCCAATGTCCAGCACACAGGGAGGAGCCAGGGCTATTGGACACAGGAGGTTTTATTGATGCTGATGGGGGTAGGAGCCCAGGGGGTGGGGTGGGGGGCTGAATCAGTCAGCAATGCATAAGGCCTGGGCACATGGGGGCAAGTTAGGGCACATTCATCTTCTCAGGATTCTGTGATTCCTTTGAGGAAGAGAGCATCTTGAGGGGGGAGCAATTCGAAGAGCAGCAAGGGAGAGGTTAGGGACAGCTGACAGCCCCTAACCTGAGGGAAGGCACCACAGTAGGCAGCAACATCTGTGTGGAAAGCTGGATCAACTGGTCAGTAGGGGAAAATGGGGAGGCGGCACTGGGTTGGCTTCTTAGGGAGGGATCCAACCTTGGCCTGGGTGAGCTCTCAAGAATACCTGGAATTCCCAAGCAGATTGGGGCAGGGCCCAAAGCCCCTTTCCCTGTGGGCCTCCTTAAGGAGAAATAGGCATTCAGGGAGCCCCCTGGCAAGGGGTGCCAGAATTAGTCCTTAAGGCACAGCTGGGGGCAGACAAGGCGCCAAGGCACAACTGGTGGGGGGGCAGGGGCAGCCTCCAAGCTGAGTGCCAGGGTCACAAGAGGACGCAGGACCGCCCACGCTTGATCGGTGTGGGGTTGAGCACAGCCCGGACAGCCTCGGCAAACACTTCCTTGACGCCGTCCTGCTGCAGGGCCGAGCACTCGAGGTAGCGCACAGCATGGATCTGCTTGGCCAGTGCCTGGCCCTGCTGCGGTGTGATGGGCGCCTGACCCTGCTCCTTGAGGCGCCGTAGGGTGTCAGGCTGGGATCTCAGGTCCTTCTTGGTGCCCACCAGGAGGATGGGCACATCAGGGCAGTGGTGGCACACCTCTGGGTGCCACTTGTGCCGCACATTCTCATAGGAGGGTGGACTTGCAATGGAGAAACAGATGACAAAGACGTTGGTCTGAGGGTAGGAGAGTGTGCGGAGGCGGTCGTACTCCTCCTGGCCCGCTGTGTCCCACAGGTTCAGGTTCACTGTGCGCCCATCCACTGCACTCTGGGCGCTGTAATTGTCGAACACTGTGGGGATGTACTCCTTGGGGAAGGCGTTAGTCGTGTAGCAGATGAGCAGGCACGTCTTCCCCACCGCCCCATCGCCCACCACCACACACTTGATACTCTGCATTGTGGGTGCAGTTGCTGCAGTGGAGGCAATGCCTCCTCCTGGGCTCCTCTGGATGCAATGACCTGGGAACAGATGAGAGGGACACTCTTGGTCAGGGGGGCCTCTACCCATTGGGAATAAAGGATGGGGCATACAAACGGACACCAGCTCCTGTTCTCTTAACCTGACCCCATCCTGCAAGCCCATCAAGACAGACCTCAGAGAGACAAGATACACAATGAGAGGCCCTGAGACCAAGCAAAGATGCCCAGATGTACGGAGGCTGGCACTAGAACGTGCAGTATATTATGGGAAGCACAGAGATTCTGGTGCCGGACTGGCTAAAGTCAAATCCTAGTTCTGTTATTTCCTAGCTGTGTGAGCCTGGACAAATCACTTACTCTTTCTATTAGTGAGTAGTGGGGCTCAGTTTTCTTATCTGTAAAATAGGGATAATATAGTACCCCCCCTTATTGGGTTATTATGAAATTATATAAGGTAACACATATAAAACATTTAGGACAGTGCCTGGTCATAATAAGCATTCAATAAGTATTAGCTACTTTTAGTTTTCCTCCAGGCAGTGTAGACACAAAAGGAGGGTGCACAAGTGTAGGCATCTACCTACAGATCCTCTACCAGGTATAGACCCCTCCCACCTAGGAGACTGGAGAGGGGTTCTGGCACAGGGTGCTGTCCCAGGTCTCTCTGAGATGCAGCCATGGGTGGAACCTCTCCCATCTCCGGGCTTGCCCTGCCCAGTGCACTGATGTTTCAACTCCAAACCTGACATCTTGGCTACTGAGTACAAACCAAAAGGCATAATGAGAAACCTGCTGAGTGAGGAGCATAATTCTCTAGACAGCTGCCCTATCTCAATCCAGGGTGCCCTGGGGACAGGGAAAGGGAGGGAGAGCTTACCCCATCATTTTGTTAAGCACAGTAAACCCTATCTGGCCACACACCCAGGGGTGGCAACTTGGTACAGAGGAATTTGGAAGACTGAGCTAGAGCTGGGATCTGGTCTGGAATCTGGGTACTTAATGATGAATGAAGCAGAGGCTATGGCTCTTAGTAACATCTTCTCGTAAGCCCCCTGGGTGGGATGAGGCAGATCCTCCAAATCCAGCCAAGAGGGATGAACAGAAGAGTAAAAAACACCTGCTTTTCCCTTTAATCTTCTGTATATTTTTTTTGAGAACATGGCACCTGCTTCTGAAGAATTTCAGGGGCTTCCAGACTCTTGGGTAGAAAACACAGTGCCATGAAAGCTGTATCACTGAACCCAAGCTAGAGTCAGATTGGCCAGGGATTCTAATCACAGCTCCACCAACTAGTCATATATGATCCTGGACAACATATCTAAGTTTCCTAAGCCTCAATTTTCTCATCTGCAAAATGGGGGGAAATCTTGCCTATTGTGTTAGAATTGCTCAGAGTATGAAATGAGCTAATGTGTAGAAAATGTTTGGCCTGAGGCGTGGCACGTTGGATAGGCTGCTACCAAATAATTATTACTTGGGTGAGTATGAGAGAAGTCCCAACTCCAGCCATTCCTCTTCCCCTTTGCATCTCACAAAGCCTCAGGGTGAGGAACTGCTCTTCTGAATTCTGGAACAGAACAGAGCTTCTGAAAACCCTGTGATTATTTATACTGCTGTGGCAAAGGTTCTCCTCTCACTGGCTACTTCCTCTAGGCCATGAGGGACTTTTGCTGGCCAGTATGTAACTTCATTTCCTTGACTCTCTCTCTCAACTAGGCCCCTGCTCCCTGGGAAGGGACAGCCTGTTTTAGACTCACCCAGATCTCCAAGTATCCCTTGCTCTGCCAAGCACCATCACCACTGGCCCATTCTCTCCATCTCACTTTTATACATTGTGAGACTGCACCCTGGTCTGAGAAGCCCTTACCCTTCAGCCTGACCTCTCAATCACTGGTTCAAAAGCCTCAAAAATCAATTTGGGGATTGTGGGGTGGGGGATCCCCCATTGGGAAGTGAAAAGAACTCTGGTGCTGTGGGACCTGCCAAGCACCCAGGGTTTGGTCCCAGCATCCTCCCAGGCCTCAGCTTCCTCTGGGACTAGCCGGGAGGGAAATGGTTTCATTCTTATGAAGTTGCCTCTGGTTCACATTAAAAATATTTCCATCTTAACTTGAGTGAATAAGTGTGTGTGTTCAACCTCATGAGAGGATGGAGAGCCTTAGGGAATGGGTCAGGGAAGGAGATAAGGACCCTCTAGAGCAATGGAGAGAAACTCAGACTGGAAGTCAAGAGACCTAAGTTCTGGGGCCGGCAGAGTGGCTCAGTTGGTTAAGAGCAGGAGCTCTGAGCAACAGGGTTGCCAGTTCGATTTCCACATGGGCCAGTGAGATGTGCCCAAGCTGAGCTGCCGCTGAGCTGGTGAGAGCACGTGTTCTTAGCAGCAAGCCTGCCGGTTCAACACCCGTATGGTGGGCTGTACCCCGCCGCAACTAAGATTGAACCCAGCACCTTGATCTGAGCAGCCACAAGCTGCCGATGGGCGGCCGGATGGCTCAGTGTGCAACAAGGTTGCTGGTTCAACTCCCACATGGGATGGTGGACTCCACAACTAGATTGAAAGTGGCAACTGGACTTAGAGCTGAGCTTGCGCCCTCCACAACTAAGATTGAAGGACAACAACCTGACTTGGAGCTGATGGGTCCTGGAAAAACACAATGTTCCCCTCCCCTAATTCCCCAATAAAAATCTTAAAAAAAAAAAGAGACCTAAGTTCTAACCCCAGCTCTGCCTTACCCTCCCTGGGCCTCAGTTTCCCAGTCCATGAAATGGAGAGAAAGATGCCTCTGACAAGGCCATAGGTGGATGAAATCAGACATGAAGAGCCCTTGGAGCAGGGGATAGGACAATGGGAGTAGGGAAGCACCTAGGAGCACAGGGTTGGGGAGAGTGAGGGGCCTGAGTCAGTTAGCAAATGCATAAGGTTGGGCATGTGGGGACAAGTTAGGACACATCCTTCTAGGATTCTGTGGCCCTGTCCTTGGGGAAAGGAAAGAGCATCTCGTGGGGGGCTGGTGCTGTTTACTTGTATCTCTTGGATTACCTGGGAGACCGTGGCATTTTGAGAGAACTGGGCCTGTACCTCTTCAGTTCCACACAGAGCAGGGGCAGGGGCAATGGAGTATCTCTGGGAACTCTTCCCCCATAGGCCCAGCACTGGGCTGGCCCAGGCAGGAAGGCAAGGAGGGAATTCTGGCCAGCAGTCACAAGGCCCAAGAGACTGGAAGTGCAGTGGCTCCAGGCTACTCTCTAGGGAGCTAGTTATCAGCCAGCAATCAGTAAATCAGCCCTCAAAGGATTGGGGAGGGAGAGGGCAGCTTCCGGGCTGGCAAGGGAATAGGACTGACAGCAGAAAAGGCTAATGAGTGAGGCAGTGTCCAGAAACAAGCAGGGCAGAGGCAGCGTGGTGCACAGCCAAGAGAAGTGGATACCGGGATGGGACCTCCGCATAGGGTCACCTGCTGACTCTGCTCTCACAAGGTATAACCCTTTACAGATCCCAGGGTATTGTTATTTGATACTTCTAACAACCTATTGGTACTATTCCTATTTACAGATGAGGAAACAAACTCAAGAATTAAAGTAACCCAGTGTCACACAGCTAGTTGGCATGGGAGCCAGGACACAAACCCCAGTTTTGCCATCCAAAGTCCTGTGTTTTCCTCAATGCGTCATACCGCCTCCACGTTGCCCTTTACCAGTTAACTTCATGACCCTGAGCAAGTAAGTCACTAACCTTCCTAGAGGCTTCGTTTCTACATCTGTACAACAGGAGTGACAATATTTGCCCTCCCTGCCTCAAAGGGCAGCAGCAAAGATCCCGAGCATGCGAATAAGTGTGCTTTTTGAATTGGGAAGTACTGTGCACACAGGAGGTGACAGGGGCACAGCCTTTCATCCCCAAAGGCAGGAAGCAGTGAGTATGCAGGTTCGGAGTGGAGGCATCAGCCCAGAACTCCCTATTCAGGTGCATCCCAGACCCTTATCCTCTCTCCCAGCACAACTCATTTCTCAGAAATCTTATAGCCTGAACTGGGTGAAGTAAGTTCCCACAGCTCATTTAAGCAGGGCCCATGGGAAAGGTTAGGGTCTAACCTGTGCCGCAGAGGACGAAGGGACAGTCAGTGCTGCAGGAAGCCAAAGGAGAGTGGACAGCCTGAGGTTAGGGGTCAACTCTAACTTATTAACTAGTTGATTTGGTTTTTTTAAAAAGAACATTCGTTTAGTAAGTAAATTAATGGTTGCAGATCTGTATAGTATTAGCCAAATTATAATGACCAGTTCTGACTTTTTATTCCCAGCTTAATTCAGATCATATATGGTGCCTTATCTTGGCATTCAGTTCTTCATACTCTGGTAGGGGTTTTGGAGTCGGCTAGACCTGGGTTTAAATCCTACTTCTGCCACTTATAAGCTAAGTAATAATACAAACCCCATAAGGTATTATAAGGATTATGTGCATTGATGTGCAACTTACGTATACAATGTAGGTATTTAGCAAATGTGAGTTCCCAGCTCCCTGCTCCTGAGGGGTCTTCACTGGCCTCTGTAAACAAGCCCAAAAGATTCCTGCCTGTGAACTTTTCCTCTCATTCTGTTTGCTGCCATTCCCTCTCCCCTCTCAAATCTTCCTGACTCCTCAAAGCCTAGCTCAAGTCTCAAAGTCCCATGAGGCTACCGAATTCTCTTTTTTTTGCACTCCCATCGCATGGCCACCCCTTTTAACCCTCCCTTGGCTCCATGTGATTCTCCTTCCTCAATAGTCATACATACGTTTCCTGGCTTGTGGACGCCCCCCAGTACTGGAGCCTGAGCTTCGTTCCCTCAACCTGCCTACAGAAGAGCTGCGTGCAGTACAGGGCTGAGGACACAAGCGTATGCAACCACTGCCTTCTGATCTGCTGGCTTCTGCCCCATTACTGAGATCTGGATAGTTGCCTCAGAAGCCCAGAATTGGATTAATGCTCCCACAGCCAACAATGCAATGCTGAATCTTTTTGGACAGCAATGGCAGCCAAGAGCTTTGACTGGGATAGGCAAAAATTTCTCTTCCCAGTATCAGCTTGACCAGGCTCCAGCAGGGAGCACAGCCTGTGGAAGCACTACCCATGGGGGCCTAACTCTGAGTGTGGTCCCTGAAGCCCAGCATATACCCAGTGGGGCCTGGTCTTGGGGTGTGGCCCAGGCATGCCCAGAAGTAGGGAGAGAAAGGAAGCAAGAGGACTGCCTGATTACCAGAGCTCTGTGGCAGTTACAGCAGGGGAAGTGTCCCAATTGGGAGTGGGGGAGGGGAGGGATGGGCCCTAAGAGATGGGGGAATGTGGAAACAATGGGAACCAACTTACTACAGCCTTCTAACCTGCCTCCCTGACATGGGGCCCCCTTCTGCAGCCCTCCCTGAAACTCATTCTAACTATAATCTATCTCTGATTCTGAGCTCTGGCCACACCACCCTGATCCTCTCCAAGCAGCTGCCACATTCTCTTCCCCAGAACACACCAAGCAGCAAGCAGTATTCCCTGTCCCCATGGGAGTCCAGCATTTCTTCCCCTCTTCCTCCCATCTGGCAGCTCAGAAAGCTCCAACTGCCTCAAGGGACCCCACCCCTTGGTCCTCCAGAGCCTAGGACCATTGCCATCTCCTCCACAAAAGTTTTGGTAAATTATCCAAGTTACAAGTGACTTACCCCATCCAAGGTTTGGTCTCACAGGCACATTGTATAGTGCATCACATGAAAGCTGTGCTGAATCTTATCTCGTCACTAGACTGGGAGGGCCTAGACGACAAGATCCTGGCCAGCGCCTCCCTAGGCTGAGCAGTAAATAACTGAACTCACTCCATCCTTCATGTCTTTGCACATGGGAGTTCCTCTTCCTGGAATTCTGCTCACCCCCTTCAGATCCTCCATCCTTCACAGCCCGGTTCTGTTCCCAGCTTCTCTAGGACATCATAGCAACCCCCTCTCTTGCCCTGCCTTCCCCAGCACTGTCTGTACTGTTCATTGCACTAACGAACTGGATGCCTCATGAGGAGGGAAGACTGTCCTCCTTACGTCCAGAAGCCCAGCTGCAGACTGACACCTAGCTCCGCCCCCACCAATCCAGACTCTGATTCTGGGAACAAGGAAGAGCCTCTGTGCCCAGGAGATACAAGACAAGGGCAATCAATTTCTTCCTCCCCCTGAGGAGTACAATTTAGGGTAACAAACACATAGGCTAGACTGCCCTGTCCTCCCTTCCCTGGAAGGGTAAGAGGGGTGAAGCAGGCACAGCTAGCCTAGAGGTGATGAGGAAGATGGGTAGGAGAAGTGGTCCTGATAAGGCTAAGGATTGGGAATATCTCAAGACCCTTGGGTCAAGGATGAGGCAAGGTTCAGGGTCAGTGTTGGAAATGGCTTCAGAAGCTCTGCAAATCTGTTTATTTGTTTATTTGGAGGTGATATGAAGAGGCTCAAAGGGGCTGCAGCTGGCTGCAGCTGGGCCGGGAGGAGGAAGCTGGGGGAGACATGAGATCACTGTAGGGCTGGGGCCAGGCCAAGGGCTGAGTTTCTCTCTTCCCCTTCTCCCCATCAGCAGGGACACAGCCCAAAGAGAGCCTAGTTCCCATCCTTAAAAAAAAAAAAAAAATCCATGCTGGCAAACTCCCTAACTCTTGCCATTCTCCACTCTTCAGCCCCTGCAGAGGATCCTGCACTGCACTAAGTAGGATAAGAACCAGGAAGAGTTGACTCTACCCACTAGGGGTTGGAGAGGAGGAGAAAACAAGAAACAAGACAGTTGTGGCTAGGAAAGCGGTTGGAGGATGGGCCCCTTTCACTAAATTCCAGTTCCCTTCCTTCTCTCACCATCTCAGTATGTGGGGTGCTCCAAAGAGATGAACCCCAGGGCCAAGACAGCTCTGGCAGGAGAAGCTAAGGAGGCTGCCCCCTCCCCCACCAGGCAGCAGAGAGGAAGGCTAACTCTTGCTTCCTCCTCCCTTCCCCCTAGCAGCTCAGCAGTCCCGGGGCCCCATGAAAGGCCTGTGCAGTGGCACTTCCTTTGCCTTTGCTCATTTCACACGAGGCTGTACAGAAGTGCCATCCTCCCAATTCTGCCTCCCCCACCTGAAAGTACCCACAGAGACCCAGGACAGCCCTGTCCCTTCATACTGGCCCTGGGCCCGTGGGGGTTTCCACAAGGGAAAAAAACATCAGGGAGGAAACTCCGGCATCTATTTTCCACTGTCAGTGGGGCACAGCTGGAACAGGGCACAGGGTACTCTCCCTTCTTGCTGTCCCCTGGCAAAATCCCCAACACTCTCTGCTCTCTTCTCATCTCTCAATCTGTATAACAATCCTTGGGCTTTGGGGTGAGGGGCCACAGTTCCTGTCCCTGGGCAGAGACTACTCAGGCCTGTCAGATCAAGGCTGGCATGAGACAGGAGGGCCCGGAGTGGAGGCTGCTGCTGTGAAGAGCCTTTTGGGGCAGGGGAGTCAGAGCTATCGGGATTTTCCATGCTTGTGGAGGTACTGATAGGCAACTCCTTCATGCTGAAGCTGAACCACGAGAGACAAAGTTGACCAGAGTTATACAGAGATTTGCGAGCAAGTCCAGTACAAAGAGCTGCATCTCCTAACCTCCAGCCTGATGTCACTTCCACAAAGGAGAGAAGGTGAGGACTATCATCCAGGCCTAGGAATGGCCCCACCATCCTCTGACCTTATTCCGGATGATTCTACCAGGGTTTATCCCTTCAGGAAATTGGGCCAAAGGGGTCACACTGACATCTGAGACCTTTTTGCTTCTAAGTTCTCAGGCTCTCATGCCTAGCCCATACTGGGGTGTCTATGATTTAGAATTGACATTGCTGGACAGACAGCCATCCTGGCCCTGTCCTAGCTGAGGAGCTCCTCCTTTAGCCTCTAGCTCCTGGGGAGATGCCCTCCCCCCCAGGACATGAGGACAAAAGAGGAAGCTGGATCCTGGACAGGAAAACCAATCTGTTCTGGCCCAGGCTTTGTCTTTGGTTTCCCTCCTCACAGACATCTACAAGCCTCACCACTACTGAGTCTACACTGTGTATGGAGGGAGGGGTCTTCAGTCTGGGCCCTGGCCCCCATCGTCTTCCCAGGGGCCTATCTACCCTCATTTTAGTATCTTCTCAACCGTCTCACTACAGCCACAACCTCGCATACCTTCCTGCTCATGACTCCCTAAAAGCTCACACCAGCCACCTCATTGGTCCTAAAACAGCTTGCCAGAAATAACTCTCCAGATCCTCGATTCCCAACCAGGATTTGTGACAATCTCACACCAACCACTTCTTTTCATGTCAGGACCTTGGCTTTATTTCTGTAGCCAAGAACTCAATAGCAGCCTCCTAGGTTGCAGGCACCTTCCGGGTGCCCACACCCTCACCCCCACTCCTCCCACCCCACCCTCACCCCGCCATGATACTTTCCCATTTAGACCCCTCCTACCCTGGTCATATTTTTTCCAGCGATGACTTTCTTGCAATTAGCTCAAACCTCCCGTGGGAAGAGATCTTGCCTGGGAGAAACCCTGTCTCATCCATCCTGTCTTTCCCTCTCAGAGACCTGTGGGCTGCTCAGTTATGCAGAATCCTAAAATAAGTACCAGTTCGCAGGCAGAGAAGGAGTCAGGACTCCTGGGTGGTTTTTTACTGAGCCGTGATGCTGGGAGGGTGTCTTGCACACACATCCTTCTTGAGCAGGGATTTCATGCAGGTCCCCGAGATTTCCTCCCAGCGCCAAACCCCCCTATGCCTCCCAGAAATGAGAGTAAAAGAGACAGGTGGGTGAAAGAAGGGACAGTTCATGGGAGAGGGCAACTGTGAATGAAAGAGGATAGAATGGGGAACAGGAATAGCCCTTAAATCTAGCTGTGCTTGGGAATCCCAAGAGTAGCACTTGCTGCCCCCCCCCTTTTTTTTCTAGTGGAGAGAAATGAATAGACTGGAGGAGACAGAGAGAAGCAAGATCTCACAACATGCATACCAAAGGCTTGAGGAAAATGCTCTAGAATGGGGACAACAAGAGCTTAAAGAGGCACTCTGGACTCAAGTTAGACTCAGGAGAAGTTCCTGATAAGAGAGGGAGTAGGATCCTAGGTAAGAGGGGGAATATTAAGGATGCCTGAAGGCAGAGGGCTCAGCAGGCTGCAGAGGACTTACTGTCACCAAAGCCCTGATGCAGCCCAGGGCACGTTGGTACCCAGCCTGAGCAGGCCCCGGAAGGCAGCAAGCAGGCAAGAGGGGCAAATACCTTTGCCTCACACCCCTCTTCTTTTCCTGAATTGGCACTAAAACAGGTAAGACTGACATTAGAACAGCTGTAGTCTTCCCTCCAGAATCCTGCCTCCTTCCTCCCTTTCCTTCTGTCACACCTAGCTGACCTGCTCCCATCCTCCCCACCAGGCGGTGCTGGAACCAATAAGCACTGGAGTCAGGGACTTTCAGGCTGCCCTGCAGCCTCCAGGCCTGGCCTCTTGATCAAGCACCCAAGGGTCTGGGTGATTTTGATTTCCCACGGCCTCTCTCACCAGTCTTATTACTGTGTCACTCTACCCTGACCACCACAGACTGCTTCCTCCTAACCTAACCACAATCTCACCCACTGCAGGTTCCCTTCATTCTACCGGCTTCCCCTGCTCTGGGCCTTTTCAAGGCTGAGAGCAGTTATTTTGTCTCCAAGAGATAAAAATGTTGACACACAGACACTTGCACGCAAATACACACAGAGAGGTTTTCCAGCCCTTTAATCATCTCTATTACTGGGACGTTTCAGCTTGCCTCTCTGAGCTGGGGTGGTTTGAAAAGGCTCTCAAACTCACCAAAGATCCTGACCCCAAAGGTGGAGATAAGTGGCTGAAAGGAAAGGAGACAGAGGGATCAAAAGAATGAGAAAGATGGAAGCAGCAAGAGGGTGGATATGTCTGTGGGAGCCAGAAGCTGAGCAAGGAAGGGGGGGGGCGGGTAGGGTGCAAGGGTCAGAGATGGATAGAAGGGCAGGGTAGGTGAGAGGTCAGGGCCTTCGCATGACTGTGTGTTTGGGGGAAAAGAAACTGAAGAAGATTCAAGAAGAAGATTCGAGAAGAAGGTGATGGAGGGTTTGTGGGTAGAGTTTGAAGAAGGAATGGAGGAAGACAAAGTGAGAATGTACAGAACTCAGGGACTAACAATGAGGGGTGGGGGCGGGTGGGAGGAAGACTAGGAGATGGCTCCCAATGATTTCCCAAGGCCAGAACCCTGCTGCCTCCCAGAAGCCCTATTATTCTCTCCATCTCCTGAAAATAGTACTGCTCTCAGTGATGCCATCTTGAATGAGAGTCCTTCTACGTCTAGTCACAGGACAAGACCAGGCCCTTTCCTTTCCTCAGTTTACCCCCAAAAGAGCAAGGCCAGACACAGCGGATGTTTGCTCACTAAATACCTGTTGCTTGGTTCCATGGATGGAGAGGTTGGGCCTCAGGAAAAGACATACAGAGAGAAAGACTGGGGTCAGCGGGGCTCCCCGCGCCCTCCTCCTAAGTGCAGAGGGCCCTTGGGCTGCAGCCTGCAAGCAGGGTCTGGGTTAGTACCTATCTTCCAGGGAGGGAGCTCCTCCTCTGCAGGCTAGGGCTAGAGGCCAGACACCGCCCCCTCTCAACCTCGCAAATGTCACAACTGCCAGAGCAGCGGGAGCGCCATCTCCAGCCCAGGGCACCCCCACACACACACACACTTCAGAACAGTACCCCAACTTCTGAGGGCACCCTACCTCTGAGTCCCACATCCCAGCTCTAAGCCCTTCCACTTCAGAGACTTTTTTCTCGGGGCGGGAGACCTCCGATATCAGGGGTCCCTTACGGCTCCAGGGAGCCGGTACAGCCGCCCATCGTACAGGAACCCACCCTCTGGGAGCCGCCGCCGGCTCGCAGTGGCTCGGTCCCCGCCCCCCGCAAGCAAACTTCCTGGGCCGGCGCCCGTGCCCAGTCCCGGACCGGCCGGGCTCCCTTCCCCCGGACCCCCAGCCCGCCGGTCCGCGCCGGGCCTCACCTGGAGCCCTCCCCGCCGCGGGGGAGCTGGGGGCGGCGGCAGCAGCAGGCGGCTCGAGAAGGAAGTGAGAGCGGGAGGCCGGAGGAAGTGGGGGGGGCGGGCCCGGCGACCGGGGCGGGGCGCGGGGGCGGGTCGGCCCGGGGCTGGGCCGCACCAGGAAGTATGCGGGCCGGTCCCCCCACCCTCAGTCTCTTCTCCACCCCACAGCCTCCCCCCGGGCCGGGTCCTGGGCTCCCCGACCCCAGGGGAGCCTCTGAGGCTCTTAAGGTCAGGTTTCCCAAGGTCAGTCCTGCCAGCCTCCTCCTTGCCACCCCCACCCCTGTAGAGGCTTTTGTCCCCCCTCCCCGCATCTCGCCCCCACCAAGCCCTGCGGGAAGATGCTGAGAACAGGCGCCCCTAGGCCTGGTGCCTTCAAGCCCAGGGGTCAAGCGATATCCAAGGCGCGGCGTTGGCCAGAATGGGTCAGGCTGGGGCAGTCCCCACCCCCGCCCCGAGCCCCGAGGGAGTGCGGAGTGTGGTGATTCAGCAGTGGGAAGGCCCCAGACCCCTGGGGAGAGTGCG